GACATGTTAGCCCACCTGGCAAAGGGGAAAGTTTTTACAAAGTTGGATTTAAGGGAGGCTTATTACCATGTCCGGATTAAGGAGGTGGACAAATGGAAAACTGCCTTCAATTGCCCCCTGGGAAGCTTCCAATTTAAAGTGATGCCTTTTGGACTACAAGGAGCTCCTGCTGTATTTATGCAGTTAATCAACCAGGTGATCCATGATCATCTGTATAAGGGGTTTTGGTTTATCTTGATGACATTCTCATTTACACTGAGGCTATGGAAGAGCACATTAAATTGGTCCATAAGGTGCTGAGGAAACTGCTGAAGACTAAACTGTATACAAAGCTTTCAAAATGTGAGTTTCTCCAGACCTGCTTTGACTATTTAGGGCAGGCGTCGGCAAACACTAAGAACCATTTGGACCCGTTTCCCACAGAAAAGAAAACACTGGGAGCCACAAAACCCTGCTGCTCCCCCCCAGTAGTCCAACGCTCCACTGTTGCTGCTGCTTACCCCTCCCACGCGGAGTGCCCTGCCACTGCTGCTTTCTTGCCCTATCTCCCCCACGTGGAGCACCCTGCCGCCGCTTTTACCTCCTACCTTCTCCGCGCTGAGTGCCCTGCTGCTGCTTTTTCCTTCTACCTCCCCCACGCGGAGCACCCTGGCCAACCAGCCTCCCGCTCTTCTCCTCCTCCTCCTTGTCCTCTGTACTCAATCGGCTGCTAGCAGCTTGGGTGGCTCTGCTCGGTCCGAGTTGAAGAAAGCAGAAGCATAGCAGAAAGCAGCTTTCTTCAACTCGGACAGAGCAGAGCCACCCAAACTCTAGCAATTGATTGAGTGCGGAGGACGAGGAGGAGAAGAGTGTGAGGCTGGTTGGCCAGGTGAGGAGTAGGTCGGCCATGGTGGCTGGCTGGCTGGGGAGGGGAGATCATGGCCGTTCGGGGGGCTCTGCAAAGCCTCATGGCAGTGGCATTGGCAGCTTCCCCCACCCAGCCCATTTCCCCAGCTCCATATACTGTAAGATGCTTGGCAGACCCCCCCCTGCACCCCTGATGGGACCCATGCGGCACCTTCTTTCCAGGTCTATCGCAGTCCTTCGTCTCTTTCTCCGCCACCGCGTGCAGTCCCAAAAAGAAACATTTGTGGGAAGTCCCACAAACAAAAGAAGTGGGACTAAAAAAGTTCAATCAATTCCAACTTCGCGAGATTATTCGCCATGCCAATAATCAACTTATTAAAAATGGGGAGAGGGGGGAAGAAACTCTGACTTTGTCAGCCATTGCCTTGGTCCCTAGAATGTCAAGTGGCATTCGAGAATCTAAAAAGACTCTTTGCAGCTGAACCTGTTCTCAAGCACCCTGATCCTGAAAAGCAATTCATCATTCAAGATAATGTGAGTGACGTGGCTGTGGGTGCTGTTCCGTTACAAAAAAATTACCAGGAGGAAGTTACAACCCTGTGCTTACACTTCCCAGAAGCTAACTGACACAGAGAGGAGATGGGCCGTTTGGGACCAGGAGGCTTTTGCGATGCGATGGGCATTAGTAACGTGTCATTTTTTGGAAGGGGGGGGGGATACCTTTTGAAGTATGGACTGATAAAAATTTGAAAGCTCTGAAAAAACCCCGCAAATTATCCCCGAAACAGGTCCGATGGGCTCAATACTTCAATTGTTTTAACTTCACCTAAGTATTTCCCAGGGGATAATACTGTTTTGGCTGATGCCTTGTCTGGAATGCCCCAGTTCGAAATTCACTGGGAGGAAGTAACTCCATTATTCCCCTGCCGCTGTCTGCTTCTCAAATAACAACTAGATCACAAACATAAGGATCACCTGCTGGTCCTGACAATCGCTTACTGAAGGAACTTAAGCAGCAATTAGAGACTGATACCTGGTTCAAAGACAACAAATCTATTTTAACCCTTAGGAGAGGACTAGCCTGGAAAGGCTCTAGTTATACCTCCCAGATGGCCTCAGACTCCAAGCCCTTCAGCAGAGTCATGATGAAAAGCAGGGAGGTCATTTGTGTTCCTGAAAACATTGCATTTAGTGTGGAGGGAATTCTGCTGCCCAGGGATAAAAAGAAATGTCAAGAGTTATGTGAGGAGCTGTGCTATCTGCTCTGCAATGAAAAGACATCCTGGGAAACCCCCAGGATTGCTGCAACAAGTAGCTGAGGAAATAGCCATGGATTTTATAGTGTAGTTGCCTGAGAGAAAGGGAAACACTGTAATATGGACTGTAATTTTCCAAACAAGAGTATTTAATCGCTTGCTCAGGACTTCCCTCTGCCCAGAAGCTAACCAAGACGTTTTTGAAACATATATATCGGCTCCATGGAGCCCCAAAGTGGATTATTTCTGTCAGGAGAGTCCAGTTTACTACAAAGTTCTGGAGGAAGTTTGTTAAACTGATTGGGTTGACTTAGGGGCTTTCGTCAGCTTTTCATCCAAGTACAAATGGTGCAGATGAAAAAGCTAATGCAGTGGTGGAACAGTACCTCAGGTGCTATGTTAATTACCAGCAGACTAATTGGGCTGACCTCCTACCTTTCACAGAGGTAGCCTATAACAATACTGTGCACAGTAGCACTGGACTCACCCCATTTAAAATAGTAATGGGTCGAGATTTTGTGCCTATGCCTGAGTACCCCCAAGAGCCTCCTACTTCCCAGACTTTGGATCAATGGGTGACATCTTTCCAGGGGGGTTGGGTGAATGTGAAGAAAGCATTGACCAAGGCTGCCAAGGTTTACAAGGAGCAGGCAAACAAATGACGTTCCCCTCAAAAACCTTTTTATGTTGGGCAATTGGTTTATCTTTCAACAAAATATTTAAGGTTAAAGCTACCCATCAGAAAATTGGGGCCAAAGTTCCCATCACAAAAATCATAAACCCTGTTACAGTGGAATTGAAACTTCCATGACTGTTGGGAAAAGTTCACCCTGTGTTTCATTGTAATCTGCTGAAACCTGTGTCTGAATCCTCTTTAAGACCTATTCCAAAGAAGCCGCCGGGTCCATAGTGATAGAGGGAGAGACACATTATGAAATAAAACGAATTCTTGATTCTAGGTCGTACAAGGGAAAGTGCAGTGGAAAGGTTATCTCCTGTCAGAAGCTACATTGGTGAAATGTACCAATGTGAAAGCGAACAGGTTAATAAAAAAGTTTTACGATAAATACCCTCACAAACCTCGAGGAAATACTTAACTTGCTTTTTATTTCTCCTGCAGGAGACTCTTTCTTTTTAAGAGGGGCCGACTGTCAGCTCTACAAATGAGCATGGCTGCAGCCATTTTTTCTTCTCATTCTAGGTTGCCACATAGAACGGAGGGAGGGGCTTGCTCAGGTGATTCGTTAGTCAAAATAATCTTCTGTCCCATGGGAATCAAGATCATCGGCTACTCCCAAGACTAGGGACTGGGCATTGCATAAAAAGCCCGCCAAATAATCATATTGGGGAACGTAGTTGCTTGCATAGTTTTATGGGTGGGACATTTAACTTTGTATTGGGAAATTGTGTATTCAGACTTGGTTTCACTTTTGACCGTGCTGATACTTAGTAACTAATAAACATGTTCTTAGGAATTCTCAAGCTTCAGAGTTCTGCTTTATTCCTCTGTCTGTCGGAACCATGACAGTAAACCAAGTCTCTTAAAACTTTCAGTTTCTTTCGGGGTGCTGGGCCCTGACCACCTACCCATCCTTTGGGAAAGTGGTAAAGACTCAGTGAAGATTTGAGAATGGAGAAAAAGAATGGAGCCGTTGCTGACCGCAATGGAACTCCGGCTGTCGGAGCACAAGCAGTCGCTCCAGCCACCAAGGAGGCATCACTGGCAGGGTCTCGGCCAATGTCTGGAGGAGAGTGGAGGGGCAGCGGGGCTTCTGCTGGATGGGACTGCTACTGCCAGTGATGCCGCCGTGGAGTGAGGCAGGTGATGGGGCAGGGGTGGCCTGGTTGTGGGGCCCTGAGGTCCGTGAGTGCGGGGCAGGTGGGGCAGGGCCGAGCGCCGCACATACCACACAGACACATCATTCCAAGCTTGGAGACTTTTATCTACATCTGAACTGGCAAGCTGCCAATCATGCCTGGGCTTGGGAAGAAGGACCTCTCCGTCCTCTGTGGGTAAAAGTCTCCAAACCTAGAATGGGGATTTGCGTGCGTGCATGTGTTTGGCTGCCGCCAGTTCGGGGAGGCGAGCTTGTGGGCTCCTTGAGTGAGCAGCAGCGAGCTGACCACGCCCACCCAGCCACGCCCGCCTGGTCGCAGCGACCTGGATGTGACCACCCTCACATGCTTATCTGGGCCTTTGAGGGCAACCATAATGCTGATGCGGCCCTCAGTGAAATTGAGTTTGACACCCCTGATCCAGACAGTTCCCATAATAAATGGAGCATAGGTGATTGGACAATGCACTGGACCAAAGGAGAGCAACCAAAGGGGGAATTCATGTTTAATTATACAGATCTTTGAGCGGGAATTTCAGAGCTGGTTTTGCCCTTTTTTTGTGCCAATGTAGTATATTCAATAAACATTACTTTTGGGAAGAAAAATGTCCCAGGAGTTCCTTTCTTGAATTCCCTAGCTGGACATCTGACATCCATTCAGGAAATACTGTTCTTTATATACATTTATATAGAGGTTGAGGAAGTACAATGGAGAGAGAGTAATAAATAACTCTAATCATCTCTTCTTGGTAAAATAAGTTCTAGACATGCTTATTTTCTGCACAGAGAGTAATGATGGAAGACACAGAAGGCAAGAATGTACACTTTTGGTCTTATTAAGTGATCTAAAATTCTTAATGAGCGTGAAGAGGAGGCCTTTTTAAATGGAGGCAAATAGGGCAATCATGGTTCTGCAGGTGTTTAAATATTATCTATTCTGAATAGGTAGAATCCTGGATACAGCTATGGATAATAAGCAGGTGACGTGCCGGCTGTAAGGTTTGTCTGTCAGTGTTCCTAAGAAATTACCTGCTAATTTTCTCATCCTTGTTGAAATTTGTAGTTGCCAATGGCACTGGAACTGGAAGCTTCGAATCTTCAGAAGAGAGTTCTAGCTCTGTGATAGAGGAACAGCTGGAGAATCAGAAAGACAAGCCCCACATTCAGCAACCCTCAGCAGAAGGAGAAGGAGAAAATAACAGTGGGCTCATCACACAGGATGGCATCCATATTCCATTTGAACACCATATTGAGAACTTACGAGCAGAACAAGGTGCCAGCATGTGCCACAACCCATCCCTCAATGGACCAGAGACAATGGAAACTGTGGTATGCATGCCAGTGCCCATGCAGATGGGTTCAGGTCATGGAACTCTGTTTGAGAACGTTTCACAAGAGACACTTGGTGAAGTAGTAGCCAGTTGCCCTGTGCAAGGTATGATGCAAGGTTCACAGGTGATCATCATTGCTGGACCCGGCTATGATTCTCTCACAGCAGAGGGAATCCAACTGAATGTCACCAGTGCAGGAGAAGAGGAGCTGCCTTGTGCTGTGATTGAGGGTGTAGCACCTTATACTCAGGTAGAGCCTGAGAATGGACAGCAGAGTAGCACAGAAAATATGGAATACATCAAAACCAAAAAAGGTAGTTTCTACCATCCATCTTGGCTGCCTATTCCCAAATGACCAGGTGTCTAGCTTTAAAATGTCTGTGTGTAATGCACTGTTGTAAGTATAAGAGTGGCATTTTTGCTATAAAGGAAAGATTGCAGGAGCCTCCAGCTCTATGCTTTAAAATTCAGAAGGGGTGGGAGGAATCGCTTGTCTGCATATTGTTACATGCAAATTTAATCTATTTTCCATAAGCATTCTTCCAGCTGTCAATGCAGCATTCTGTGAAGAAGTTACATTCCTCTGAGGGATTACGGTGCAGATCTGTTCTGTACTTTTTCACTCATCTTGCAATAACTCCTTTTGTGGTTCTTTTTGTGTGTCATGCCACAACAGTTGAACTACAAATATATCAGCTTATGAAGTCCATAATAGTAGAGAAAATCAAGAATTGGAAGGTTTGCCTCTATTTAATATTTAATAGAAGGATAATGTTAATTTTAAAATAGATTATTTGATATCTTCATATTTGGGACATGAAAATGTATGTTTTGAATGTGTATGCATATTTTTATGTTAAATTTTTATGTCTCATTTTTTGATAACACTTGTTAGCTTTATGTGCAAGAATGGAATTCATGTAAAGAAACGGTCCAAACTTCTTTTTGGAGTGGTGATACCGGTATGTTTGACATTGCCTTCTGTTTCTTTACATGGAGGTTCTCCGGTTTATCGTCAATATGTTGCTTATTTAGTTTTCTGCTTCTCCCCCAATCACTTGCACAATATTTTAGGAGAGAACACATTTCAGAAGTGATTGGTTTTTGGCTAATATCCATATATAACTTGAGAGAGTATGTCAGCATTTAGAATTACAATTTTGCTTTCTGATTGATGGCAGAAAATGAGGCATTGTTTAAACTCAAAAAAGAAGAGCATCCCCCTCCAACAGAAACAGAAACATCCTGTGATTCAAAATCAGCCCATGAAAGCAGAGAGCAGGAACCAGAGCCTGAACCTGAGGAAGAGGAGGAGGAGGAGGAGATGGATGGAAACCACATGTCATCCATTATTTATGAGATTCCAAAGGAGCCCGAAAAGTGAGTGAGCAACAAAAAGAGATGTGGCCATCTAAATCTCTACATTTAGGGAAGCAACTGGGTGCTGCTTCTTGGAACAATGGGAAATGCTTATTGTGTGTTTCATAAAGTATTGAAGAGTCTGGTTACTTTTCCACAATTGCTGCCAAGTGATTTACCATTGTTTAAATGGTAAACATTGACATCCCTGAACAGACTTTGCTGATCAGTTGCACCTGTGAAAGGACCAATTTATACATCCATTCAGATTAATATTTATGGCAGGCAGTTTGTAGTAATAGTAATCTGTGCAAAGATAAGTAAGCCTCTGGAGGAACAAAGTTTACTGAAGAAGAATCCGCATGGTTCTGCCAATCTAGATTTTCCATTGGCAATATTGCCCCCCCCCGCCCCTCCCCAGAAGCTGGTCACTGTAAGAAAAAATACTGGAATAGTTGGGTCTTAGCCTGGTCCAGCAGGACATTTGTGATAATCTAAACCAGAGAAACTTAGATTAATTTTTGTTAGATCAAGCTTTAGTAAATGGAAAGTAGTTAACGTTTCCAGACAAAACATTTGGCAAAACGTAGTGCTAATTCCTGGAAGTCTGTCTTAGACGTCCAGAAATGAGTATCGCAAATCTTTTTTTTTTTTTTTTTTTTGGTTCAGGCTTCTCTGCAGCCCTGAAACTGATATTCTTAAGATTCTCTACAATCTCTGTTTATTGTGATGCAATAATGAAGCTCTTTTTAGGGTTTCTTGTTGTTTTTCATAGAGCACAATACAATAGTAGAATAGTTTTCTGACATTGAAGTAGATTTATGGGCAATGTGTAGCAGTTTTCTTTTGAATAATTTTTCTCCTCTTAGAAGGCGGCGAAGCAAAAGAGGTCGTGTCATAGATGCAGATGGCATGTTGGAGATGTTCCACTGTCCTTATGAAGGATGCACCCAAGTCTATGTAGCACTTAGTAGCTTCCAGGTATAGTTCCTCTGACCTGATAGATTATTAAATTTATGGTGGTAGAGTATAAGAGCTTCTGACCTTAATTTTACCACTAAATTGTATTCTATGCTGGGGAGTCAGGCAAAATGGCAGATGTAATAGAATTACTTTTTTGTAGTGGATCTAATTACTCTTGATATGTTCAAGCAGAATTTAGACAGTCCTTTGCTAGGGATGCCTTAATTTGGATTCCTGCATGGAACATTGGATTAGACCTCAGGGCCTAAATGGCCTAATTAAACCTTAAGATAACTTTTAATGCAACCAAGGGCATATAATACATCATTTTGTCCATTTTTGACATAAAATCAGAAATATCGAAGAACAGGTAGTGATTTATTCTAATTACTATAGATTTGTGTTTTTGTGAAGAAGTAAAACTTTCCAATTTGTACTGTAGAGCACGGGTCAGCAACCTGCGGCTCCGGAGCTGCAAGAAAGAGAGAGAGAGAGAGAGGGAGGGAGAGGGAGAGAGAGAGAGGCACTTGAGAGTGGCCTCATGCTGTTGTCCGACGAGCTGACAAACTTATTGGGTGGGGCTCCTACCTTGGCTGCTTCTCTCCAGGAAGCAGGAAGGGCAGGAGAGAGCCAGCTCAATGTGTGTCAGCTTGTTGGAGAACAGCTTGAAGCCAGCTTGCCAGGTGAGCAGAAGATCAGAGAGAGGGAGAGGGGGGGAGAGAGAAAGAGAGAGAGAGAGAGAGAGGAAGAGAAAGAGAGGGGGGAGAGAGGAAGAGAGAGGAAAGAGAGAAAGAGGGAGAGAGGAAAGAAAGAGAGAGAGGGAGATGAAAGAGAGGGAGAGAGAGAACTCATGCACAGCAGCCTCTATTTCCTTTTAATTAAACTCTTCAATCAAGCTCCCCCCCTTGCATGCGTGCACGCATAAGTTTTGCGGCTCCCAAGTGTTTTTTCTCCTCTGGGAAATGGATCCAAGTGGTTCTTTGAACGTTTAAAGTTGCCGACCCTGCTCTAGAGGAGCAATTTTCATTTCATTTCTTTCTATCCTCAGAATCATGTTAATCTTGTTCATCGGAAAGGAAAAACGAAGGTGTGCTCACATCCAGGTTGTGGCAAAAAGTTTTACCTATCTAATCATCTCCGAAGACACATGATAATCCATTCAGGTATATTGTCACCTGTAAGTTTTCTTATCTACAATACGTCTTCATCACTTTGGAGGTATTTTGGTATATGGTGATTCTGATGGAATTGTTAACCTTGCATATCAACGCATACCACAGTTTTGAAATAGAGAGGTCCAAACAGGATATAATTTTCTTAAATGGAAAAGGAAAGTTGCTCCTCCCATTTACTTCAGTAGGCAACAGTAAAGGATGTACAGCAATGTCTAGAAAGGGGTCTCTCCCAGTCAAATCACTGAGGACTCTATGGCTTTCTAATCTAAGTAAAGATTGTTTCTTTTTTACTGTTTTTCTTCAGGGTGGAGAAACATAGTGACAAGTGCTGCAATTAAATATTTTACAAGATTCCCATTTTTTTTTCTTTTTTCATTGGGCACATGAATAATAGTTGGCCAAGATGGTACATTTTCTGTGGCAGTTGGCATAATGGATCTAATTTCCATTTTTTCATGCTGCAGGTTTTCTGTCTCTTATAATTTTATCTTGGTGTTTTCACTGATCAAATACCCATTAGTTTTTCCTAGAGCTGATTGCAGATGCTTTTCATTTTTCCCACAAGGGAAATTATTAATGGAACTGCAAGGTCCATTAAAAAGAATCTTTTTTTACGTACTCAGCAACTGGGCTGCATTTATGGCCATTTGCAGTGTCCTGTGATATATGACTGTATTTTGTGACTTTTTGTGGAAAACTGGCATATATTTCCATTTATTTTTTTGCAAAATTCTGCCTATAGCGAACTATTGGTTCACTTAGTGACTTCTATGTTCACTTAATAATTGTGGATTCACTTAGTGACTATAATGATTCACTTAACAACCACTGCAAAAAAGATCATAATATCAGATCCATTACATGGGTGGCTTGATTTACAACTATCTTTGAGTTATGACCATGATGGGCAGGCTTCATTACAGTTGTAACCTGTACAACAAAATAGCTGTCTGTCCTGTCTAGCAAGCTTTTTTGCACATGCTAGAATGTTAACAATGTTGTCACTTTCAGAACTGACATATGACTTTTAATTAACTGCTATATGGCCATTTTGTAGTCCTTACATTTTTAAAAAAAATAATCTCAGTCCCATAATATTATATCTGTTCCTCTCTTTCTTTTACCATTGTTCAGTCCTAAGTGTAGATCATTCTAAATGAGGTATGGAATAGGTTGGACATTTGCAGAGGAATAAAGATTTAATCTTTTATAAGATTATACCTATTGATTTACTTTCAGAAAATCAGTTTATACATAGCAGAGATTTTCCAAAGCCATATCAAAGTAGATCTAGTCTTCTGTTTCCTTTGTATGAAAACATTATTGATTAATGCTCTAGAGGCAGTCACAGCCCAGTCTATAAACAGGTCAGCTATCCAGCAACTTTGAACTTTTTGTTCCAGAGGTTCCTCTCAGCAATACATAGAAGGCCACTAGATGGATTTCTGCATCTTACTTTGTTAAAGGAAGTTTCTAAAAATTTTGCAGAATTCTATCTCCCATATGCTTCCCCACTATAGGAAAATGAAGTACTGGACTTAAAGGTTCTCTTTCTACAGTGGATGGAGGAGATAATAGCTTTGCTACTCAGAAAGGAAGAGGTGCTCTCTATCACTGTAGGTATTATAAATGATAAATAAATCTTCAGGGCTTTCCAGAAAGCTAGGAGGGTGGAGGTCTTTGGAACTCTACATTGAATTGAGGGAATCCTGAAAACTGTTTTGCTCTTTCCACTTGCCCCATCCTACGAGGTTAGATAGGATCCCTTCCCTTAAACACTACACCTTATGGGAGCTAGGAAGAGGGCCTTTTCTGTGGCAGCCCCTTCCCTATGGAACACTCCTTCCCTCTAAAATTCCAAAGACCTCCACCCTCCTAGCTTTCTGGAAAGCCCTGAAGATTTTAATAGTTTTAATGTGGTTTTTATGTTGTTTTATTACTGATATTGTTTTACACCTTGATTGGAAGCCACTCAGAATTTGGTATAAGGTGGGCAGTTAAATAAATGTTTTAGATAAATAAATAAATCATAGTAACATTCTTTTTGCACTTTTATTTTTTTCTTCTTTTGTGCTTTTACTCTATTAATTTGTGTTAGTTTTATGCTCTATGAAACTTTTAATACAATGTTTATTAAAAACTTACTAGTTTTCTTCAAATTGAATTTGTTGACCAATGGGACTGGGACTCTCTTTTTATTATTTTTCTTTAAGTTTAAAGCAATATTATGTTCCTTTAAGTGGTGCATGCTGTCTTAAGGTTTAATTAGATTAGATTAGTGGTAGGGCTGCTCATTCAAGCAAGTTATTTCAGGAGATGTCCCTAGATCTAATCTATTTTCTTTGGCACAGAGAATGTCCCTATGTTAGCTATTGATGGCTTTTTCTGTTCCTTTTTTATTCCTATATCTTCCCAGGAGTCCGTGAATTTACCTGTGAGACTTGTGGAAAATCCTTCAAGCGGAAGAACCATCTAGAGGTCCATCGTCGAACACATACAGGAGAGACCCCGCTCCAGTGAGTGACCTGGGGCATGACAAGAAAGTCTTGGGCTGAGCCACGCTCCAGCATCAGAGCAGCAGGGCGAGGCCTCTGGAGCCTGCTTGCTTCGCTTTCTTTGTGCAAGTTAGCCAGGGCTTATTCTGGCTGATCATATCTAACCATTTTTTAAAACGGGAACCCTGAATGAGCTACTTAGTAATTATTGTACTATCAGTACATTTGATATGCTTGAGACTAAACAAGTGTACTAATTATTTTTGTAATTATGCAATTATTAATTACAATTGTACCAAGAAAATCTAGTTTCAGTACTTGACAGGAAAAGCAGGTAGATTGAAATACATATCTTGCTTGATTATGGTAGTAGATGCTGAACTGACAGCAACAGCTGTTGATAGTGAATGGGACTGTGGGTGCTTTCCTGGTCTCTTGTCTGGAGTATAAAGAAATGATGACTCTTTCTCTCCACAGGTGTGAGATTTGTGGCTATCAGTGCCGACAAAGGTCTTCTCTCAACTGGCATATGAAGAAGCATACCTCAGAAGTCCAATACAACTTTACTTGCGAGTACTGTGGCAAACGTTTTGAGAAGCTGGACAGTGTCAAGTTCCACAAACTAAAGAGCCATCCAGACCATAAGGCTGCCTGACTCTGATCATGAATCGCTTTAATTATTGTTCCTCCAAATACCTAAACCAGTTGAGGGCATGACTTACATAGTCACAGCTGAAGACATGGTGTGTGCTACCCACAGCACAAGGGTCTATCCCTTTGGTTAGGATGATATGGAGTAGGTTTTTTTAAAGATCAGATGATGACTGACAAAAACTTCAAGCTGGATATGGAAATGTCAGTGTGCTCAGGGTGTTCGGACAGCATTAAGTTAAAACTTAACTGGAGATTATGGTGTTAAGCTGTCCTGTTTCTCAAGAGGAAAAGAACAGTGGAATAATCTTATCCAATTGAAGTATCAGTACTTTGCTATCTGCAGGGAGCACCGTCTACATTTTAGCCACCTGATACTTGATCTGAAGGAGAAGTGCAGTATGAAAGGTCTAATTGCATATCATTTAATTATGGAGAGACTACCAATATATAGATGCAGGTTTAGTTCAAGTGACTGTTTTATATCTGTTGACAACAGTGCAAGAAAATTATTGGCTGATATGCATTAATTCAATTTCCTTGAAATATTTGGTTGAACGTAGTCATATATTGGCCTGAAACATGGTTCTGTTTCAGGAACTATTTTCCCTTCAACATTCAGGGCTATTGCATTTGAAGACAACCCAGAGTTGGCATTTGTACCCATCTTCTTGAAATATTGGTGTTCTGTAAAGCACAGATTCTGATATTGGGTAGACTTAGATTCCAGCTCTAAGTTACTTTATTATTCTGGTTATCTGTGGCCATCCTCTATAGTTTGCTAAATTCATAGTCTCGTTTGCAAATAAGGAATTTCTAAAATTTAATGCCATCAGTGTGTTTTTTATTATACTATTAAGAAATATTGTCTTTAAAATGCCATTTAATCCTTAGGATTAAGTTAAAAAATATTAAATGTAAAAATTGATGGAGATTTATCTCTGTAACTGAAATTGATATGGCTCTATGAGAGCACTCATAACTGGGTGTATCATTTCTTCACCACCATCACCCCTCCAAAAAAACCTTTCTTTTGAACAACCTGTCTATATGAAATTGTCAGCAGATGAAATAGCTTAGTTGGGTCAAATTTTGTGGAGTTTGCCATTCTGGGATGGAGAGCAGGAAGAGCTCCTTTTTGTTAGTTTAGGTAGTTCTACTTGTGTGGCTGTTCTTGCCATATTCTTCAAAGATGCACAAGCCATTGGTGAACTGAATTTAAAACTTGCCAAACTTTTACTTCCTGTTTTCTGAATTTGCAGGTGCTAAAATGGACGGACCTTCCAAATCCTGCATTCCTGCTTCCCATCTGTCCCAGTAACCATTGTTGCCCTTGGTGAAGGATCAAGGCAATCTGGAGGCAGCATATATCTTATCATTGTGAGAGGGAAGCTGGCTGAATGAAATTAGCTTGTTGTCTTGCGCATTTGTTTCCTCCTGCATTTCTTAACCCAGGCAATGGTCACTCTAAAATCCATATAGATCCAGATCAGAGTAGAAAGGCAAGTCTGGAGGGATTTTTAAAGGAGCACCATAGTGTGTTCACAGGCAAATCAGGGACCAAGCAGTGATGAACAAAGAGTGATGAGCTCACTATGCCTCTGAAGAGACCAACCATAGCTGCTGGTGAAACATCAGGACAGCAGAAAACAAGATACGGCCATTCAGCCTGAAAGCTCATCATTCCTTGATTAATGCCAGCCATGAATGCCTATCACCAGTAAAATGGGGGGTATTATTTTTATAGAACACTGGATCAGCACTGGAAGACCCAGTAGGAAAAAAAATTATCATATCCGTGAACAGATGAGAAGCACTCTGGAGAAGAAGACTAAACACACAATCGAATTTAGTGATTTTGAATTCTCTCAAAGAGTGGAATATTGTCTTGATGCCAAAAGAGGGGGAGGTTAGATTTTGTGGACCTAAGAAAATAAGTTAAACAGGTATAGGTATGTATCCACCCTTGATTTAATGCATTATAATTGGCAAATCCCTTTGGATGCTATTTCCAGTGGGAAATTGGTTTTATAATGCTGAAGAAAGTATTTTATTTTGTGAAAATGCCACTTGGTCTACATCAGGATTTTCCAACTGTAGCAACTTCCAGGTATATGAACTTCAGTTCCCAGAATTCCAAAGCCAGCATAACCATTGCTGAGCATTCTGAGAGTTGAACACTCACATTTAGTTAGCCAAAGTTGGGGAATGTTGGTTTCCATGATGCCACTCCAGTGGTTGAGGGAACAGGTTATTGCACAGTGAAGGAAGTTCTGTGAAGTGTATCTGGTTAATGCTGTAATTTATAGTACTCTGTGGAAAGTACAGTAGTGCACGCTCAGGGTTGGCTTGCCCATGAACCTAGCAAAATGGGATCTGGGTTATACAAAAACAAGATCACTGAAATGTTTTAGGCTATTAGGATGAACTGGAAGGGAAGAAAAGTGGTCCCATATCCCAAGAAAGGGTAAGTTGTTTTGGAGGCCTTGGAGGATACTATAAGTATTTTATGCTCTGTTGGGTGCCTTGGACTTAACCAAGCAAAATGAATTACATTTGCTGGACTCGGAGTTCTTCAGGGAACTGAAGACAGCATTATGCAGTCAATATATATTGAGATGGCCAAATTTTGATTTCTCCTTTATAATATATGGAGATTTCAGATGCTGGGCTGGAGGCAGTCCTTAATCCACTTCATGAGGATGAGGACCACTTGGTACTGCACCCCTTTTTTTTAAAAAAAAATACATTTTTAATGAGAGCAAATAGTGTCACGGGGGAGTTGAACAATGGGTTAGCCCCTAAAGTTGGCTTTGCAGAGCTTCAGAATCAACATATGGGCACACAATTTCACAGTCCTCATCCCCCCATCCCTGGAAAAGATGGATACCAATTGATTCATCTCGGGAATATCAGTAAATTTTCTGTGTTGTTGCGTTACTTTTAATGGAGTAATGACTCCAAAGGAAGCAAAGAAAGCACTTGCTTTACACTACATTTTTTACATGGTGATAACATTCCCAGCCACCATAAAACCAAGCTGGGCCCTATTCTGACATGTGACTTGAACTTACTGCATTTTCTAATCTAAAGGAGAAATAACAATAAAAGATTTGGAAGGGACCTGGGAGGTCTTCTAGTCAACCCCCTGCTCAAGCAGGAGACCTTATACTATTCCGGACAAGTGGTTGTCCAGACTCTTTTTGAAAGCCTTCAGTGATGGACCACCCACAACTTCTGAAGGCAAGCCATTCCACTGGTTAATTGTCCTCACTGTTAGGAAGTTTCTTGCTCCTCTCCATTGCTTAGTTCCCATCCATTGCTTCTTGTCTTGCCTTCTGGTGCTTTGGAAAATAGGTTGACCCCCTCTACTTTGTGTCAACCACATGTCACTCCTAGTGTTTTTCACTAGACTAGACAAACCCAATTCCTGCAACCGTGCTTCATGTGTTTTAGCCTCCCCCTCTAATCATCTTTGTTGCTCTTTTCTGCACTCTTTCCAGAATCTCTACATCTTTTTTATAATATGGTGACCCAAACTGGATACAGTATTCCAAGTGTGGTCTTATTAAGTCTTTATAAAGCAGTACTAATATTCATGTTTCCTATATTTTTAGCTGTTCAATACTAAGCACTGAAACCCTTTTATTCTAAAGCAGGGATCTCCAAACTGTGGACTATGGCCCACTACTGGGCCATGCCCTATTGGCCACCGTGCTGCATGAGTGGCTGGCCACTGCGCACGTGCACATAGTCCCACTTAAGCCAGTGTCACCATGAGCGCTCACAGCCCCACTCGCGCAAGGAACAGGTGTTCATGCACATGCACATGTTTACCTCTCCCGCAAAGTCATCCATTCTTTCCCCTCCCCCCACTATGGACCGCCAACCCCAAGAGGTTGGGGGTCTGTTCTAAAGCACTGGGAGAAAGATTAATGGTAGGTTTTGATAAGAATGGTGTTTAAAAAGTTGCTATGCTGATTATGAGGCCAACTTTGAAGTCTTGCCACCAGGAAAGAATTGCTGCTTTCTGTAGGCTACTGTTGAGTAGTTATCGTATCTGCAGTGCAACCCTATGTCAGATTCAGCATTCTGTATCTCATATTTTATCTATTGTGCAGCTGAAAAACATCCCACAATACTTCACATATTGCCAGTAAAAGGAATGTTGTAGTTATTGCCTATGGCCCCAATTAAACAGTTTCATCCTGCAAGCTTCATCTTTGTTTTTTAGCCTCTTCTAGAGTAGATTAGTTAGGAAGGGGGTTAATCCATATCATTTCTGTACCTTTTATCTTAAAGGCACCTTGATGCCTCTTGCACTTCCTGCAAATAGTGCTAAATAAATAATTCACTACCCAACAAGGTCATATTAATAATGCAAGCTTAGGGAACTGTTCTCAACACCAAGGACATCTCAAAAGCTCCTCAGAAACAACCTGGATTTTCTCCCTTTGCAATCACAAGCATTTTATTCACATTCTCAAGATGTCTTCCTCGTGTCATATGGATGAGAGGTTGCAGTCTGTCCATCCATGCTTTGGAAGAAGACAGGCTGCTGATTGAGCAAAGCTAATAAAAAACCAATTCTACCATGAAGGAGTTTGTCTGATGAGCTTGATGTGAACAGCTCAATGATGCTTGTGCTGATGAGATTTTGTTGGCTTGAGATGCTATGCAGAAACAGAACCACCCAGATTCGTTATTGTCAGCAAGAGGACACTTCAACCTCTTGAAACACAGAGGACCACATTCTGTAACACTTTAAAAGCGTTAAAGGGAAGACCTGAAGATGCACTAGTGAGCATAAGATCATTTTGATGATCTTTTTGATAAAGAGCTTTTTAACCCACTTTTTAAAACTATTAACCTATGAAAATTCAAGCAGTCACTTTCTTAACAGACGTTTAAAGAATTAGTAAGCATTTTTCCTACCTATGTTTCACATTTACAATTATTCACTTGCTCTTTCAGGTTTATAAGGCTGCCCAATTCAGTGCAACTTCTATTGTTCATTAATAGGCTTAGACTTTACCAGCAGGTGGAGCTATTGGTATATTTTGGTTCAAAGAAGCACTTTAGTTAAAGTGCATCCATCAAGCTTTCCCAGCACAATACTGTAGTATCATACAATGTTTAGTGCTACTATGAGTACACAGTCGGGATGAATTTAAATGTACAGATAGTCCTTGACTTACAATCACATTGCTAAACACGGTGGTTATTAAATGAGTCATGCCCAGTTTTATGACCATTTTTGCCAGTCATTAACTGAATCGCTGCATTTATTATCTGGGTCACATGGTAAGTGAATCTGGCACCCTTCCATTGCTTGTTGGAAACCGGCTGGAAAGATTGCAAAAAGTGAATATGTGAATCTGGAACATTGCAAGTGTTATAAATACATACCAGTTGCCAAGTGCCTGAATTTTGATCATGTGACCATGAGGATATAGTGACAGTCATAAGTGCAAAGACCAGTCATAAGTCACTTTTTCATTGCTGTTGCAACTTTGATCACTAAACAAGTAGTTGTAAGTCAGGGACCATCAGTGGCTGTCTCAGTTTGCACATGTTTCTCCGAAAATAAGCCCTAATGCCTCTTGGAGGCAAAAAATATATATAAAACCGGGTCTTATTTTCGGGGAAACACAGTATGAGCACAATGCTTATTTGCCACTGCCCAATGGCAAAGGGACATTTTAAAAAATTGTAGATATTTCCAGAACGATAGAAGACACAATAAAAAAAGCAGTTATAAATAACTTGTAAAATTGATCGACAGTAAATTCAGGGCTTCACACAACACATAATGAATGTAATTCATTACCATAAAATATGGGCTGCAATCAGATAAAAAGGTAATATATTATTTAATGGAAGGTATAAAAGCAAATTATATGTATATATCTCAGCAAAAAGGAAAAGAAGATT